GGGGGGGAGTGGAAGTCGCCTTCAAGCTCTTTATAAGCCGTGTTCAGCGGATGTAGAAGTCGTACTCCAGATTAGCGCTCTAAGCTCTGTTTATCATCCCACTAATGCAGTCGGCACTTTGGCCAAGTACTTTTTCTCATGCAAAAAGGGGGTCTGCTCGTCATCTAAGAACGTCTGCCGAAAGTTTCTATTTCAGGTCATTTGCGTATATGCAGGAAGTGGTTTACCTAACACCCGCATCACCTGTTGGGAATGTTCATCAACTGTGTGCTCAGTTTTTGGATTACGTGTGCACATGATTGCAAAACACGGGATCTTTATCAAGGCTGAGGATGAATCTACCACAGAACCTACCTCAAAAGGAGGTGAGTTTGGTGATATAGGAGTCATCCTTTGTACATGATTCCCTTAACTTCTAGAAGACTTGGAGCTTTTCACGGCCACAACGAGAGCAATCAACAAGCTTATTGGCCTCACCGAAAATGGATGTCTTCCCGTCAACCTGGAAGAGAGAAAAAAAGAGGCTCTCAGAGCTAAGATGAAGTTGAATCAGGTCAGGATATCAATTTCTTCCTCCTTTCAAATAATGAGTAAACTAGAAGCATTATTGTCAACACCCGAAATCATTTTTTAGAGCGCAAATGGCAGCGAAACCGTCCACAACCAGTCGAATGTAATCGCGTCTCCACGCCTTGTGCAACCTAATCATAGCAACAATAATTCGAGCAGAGAAGCGGCCATCGTGGTTGTAACGTCTTCGTCACCTTCTCCTGCAGCTATTCCTGAGGAATCTCCGCCTTCTGTACAAATCATCGAGCCACAAGCTGAGCTTTATCAACCAAGGCAACAATCTGCCAATCATGACAATCAGCCAGCAGTCACGGCTTTGGACAGAGTTGAGTCGCTTGTGAGGAACCTGGGACGTTTCTCTATGCCAGCTAGGGACACTCCCCAAAAAGAAAATCGCGTTGAAGAACCTCATTATGTCTTGACAAGTATAAACCAAGGTATATATTTCTCCTTTGGATTCCTTGACTTCTCCAAAAAAA